TCATTTTTTTCTGCACCAAAGAGTTTTCAATGGGCAGCATGTTGTATAGAATTACAGAGCAGTCAAGCATAGTTTTGATGTTTTTTTCAACTTAATTTCTTGATGGCTTATTAGACTGTTAGACTGTTATGGCAGACATGCTTATGCCTACCCTACAATGTATTTGCCACTGTGGAATTTGTCTTTTCACATACCTCAACTTGCTCTCCATGAGACACACAAACAGGGAGAGAAGCTTGAGGTCAGAGCACAGGGTCAGCTTAACAGAGTAATTAATGTCAGGCAGCTATTCACTAATAAGTTACTTAAGATCGTGGAAATTAGAAAAAAGCAAATACAGTTTCTAAACATATATTTGTGCATGATTTGGCACAATATTTTTTTATTACATCATACACCAACAGAGTATGGTGTCAGGACCGAAAGTGATGGTGGTGGACCCACAAATAGCAAGCAAATACGTACTTTCAAAGGCCAGACCCTTGTGTCTTTTGAGACAGTGATGTAACTTACAGAATCAGTAATGATCTTTTAAAATAAACTATTCAATTTACTTTTTCAAAAAAAACAAATCACTTTTTCATCTCAAATCATATTTCGTAATATTACCATTTTCAGCACAAACAGACGCACATATATATTACTTTTTAGGCTACAGTCATTTTTTGGAAAAATTTAAATAATAAATGATGGTGTCGTTTATATTGGAAATGCTATGGCCTTACTAACTGTAATTGTAAGATTTCAGTGTGCGGTTCATGTTTTCTTGTGTATTAGACAAAGCAATGATTCAAATTGCTTTGAACCATTGTCAAATCATGTCAAATTCTTGAAACTGAAACAGCTCATTTAAAGAGGTTCTTTTTAAACCTTTTCTCTAAGTTAATTAAGCTAAACAACCATATATATATATATTTATTACTGGATGAAATGTTCTGTTTTCTGTGCGCACTGTTACTGAAGCTTATGTCCACTCAGGCACTGCAGGCAAAGCAGGTCTGAAGGACTGGTGGTGCGGAAGACAACACTGAAGGTATTTTTGATGGGGACCGTGAAAAGAATTGACGTTGTGTCACTTTAACCTATGACCTTTCAAAGAAAGAGCCAAGAGCACAGGAAATGGAAATAACCTCTGTCCCTCCATGCATGGTTCACTGCAGATCACAACCAAGCATGAATTACAGCGGGAGCAACACGCGTGGCCAGGGAGTGTGAGACCAGGGACAGGGGATTTAATTATTTCTCCCAACATTCAACAACAGCCCTCAACAGCAAAAGCACATTCGCAAAAAAAGCTCTACGGTTGCAGTCCTTTTATGTACCTTTATGTGAAAGTGAAGGATTTCAACAAATTAAGTCCAGTGTCTCTAACAAGCTTATCCTGCACCATTGTACATTACTGTGGGTCTTCATCTGAATATAGAGTTGCTTCAGTAGGTTTTTATTCACTATTTAGGGAGAACCAGACAGCACAAAAGGACCAAAAAGAGATTGTGACATCTAAATAAAGGGTGAACTACTGCTACAACGACTACTAATAATAAATAACTTATTTTTATAAAGCACCTTCCCAAACCTAAAGACACTGAATTGTATATACTGATATACGATTAGTAGAATTGTTTATACAATCGGTACTGAACGCGTGCCGGAATCTTGTGTATCTCACAAATGAAAGAATAAAAAAAAGAATGTTGGAAGCTTAAACCTCAACATTCACATGCAGGTTTCAGCTAACATCTCTAGTTGTAATATAACGATAAAGAAAATCCAGCACCTATGAGGCATAAATGCTAGAATATTGTTTTTCCATGTTTTTTTAAATTGTCCTTCATTTTCTTTCTTATTCTTCTTGGTATGGGATTGTGTCTTGTGCATCACACTCGGCCCATTGCTATGGGGGGCAGGCCTGGTTTCCTCAGAAACATTCACTGTCATGCCTTCCGCTGTCCTCTGCTCTATCCAACCAGCACTTCATACAAGTGACCTGCCGGTAACTGGAGTAGTGATGCAACTCCCACTGACTGTGCAAAATCACAGATGCCCAGAAAGTCACAGTGTTGCATGGGGAATACTGTGGCCAGCCTTGATAGTGCTCAGTCAATTGGTCACTGGCACTTGCTCAGTCCTGTTCCTTTGCAAGTTCATGACATACCCCAGGCTTGATCTGGTAACTAGGTACCTTGTGCTCCCAGACAGCCTTTACTCTCTTCCTCTATTTATGATCCTAACTCTGCTTAGCCTTTTCACTGAAAAACCATCCCACACCAGTAAAATACTTGTGCTTATGAACAGATATGAAAAAATCCTGATTTCACAGGCCTTTGATAAAACCAAAAGTACATCAATCAATTTTTCAGAAACCATTGATCCTTCAAGGGTCACAGTGAATTGCCTGAATCAGAGCCTAACCTACAAACAGGGCGCACAAGACAGGACCACACTTCTTTGTACACACTGAATGTGAGGCCACCCTTTTAAAAGGAAACCACAAACTAATCTGCTTTCATAATTTTCAGTTTCATCATAAGATGGCTAATGGCTAACATTTAACAAAAAAGGCTAGTGTGCCATCATTCTTAGAGTCTTTATTAAAATATCTGAACAACAGGATGCACAGACTCTTGATTTCTCAGTTGGGCATTCCATTTATGTTACAATGCAACATTATCAGGAAATAATCAGATAATAAAAACAGCAAGAAAATTAGCAAAAAACAAGCACAACTGCACATTCGGGTAAAATGCTCAACCAAACCATTTTTCTGTTCTCTAGAATAAGAAAACTTCAGGTTGGCATTACAGCAATAACAGTTTTGGGCAATGAAATTGACATGTCAAAACTTCCAATCACAATCTGATAAAGAATGTTCTTTCTGTGGCCGAATCAAGCCTGTTAACTATTTCATGTTTCTCTCTCTAGAAAAGATAATAACACAACTGAAATTCAGACCAGATTTAAACGAATACTCTTTCCACCAGTCACAATAATGTCTGACTGATTAAAACACATTACAAACCCCCACCCGTGCCCCTCATGACAGCAAAGTGTCTCAGACAGCTATCAGAACTTTTAGGCGTTTCAATCTGATGCTGTCCTGTTTTATCAGGGCTGTGAAAAGTCCTTTCTCATTCCGCGCGTGAAATGTTATGGCCATTTAACAGGTACAGAAAGGAAAGATGATGCGTTAAAGCAAATATTGCCTGGGGCTGTGTTTTTTCCCCCCTCTTTTATCATCACATCTTAATTTATAGTAGAATCATCATTATCACAACTGTCAGCCTCATTTAACCTTCCTGATCTCCCATGATTCTCTGCTGTCAGGTCTGATTGCCTGCCTTCTGCTTACTGACTGATAATAGTTGACTGATTAGCCCACCTCCAAAAGAAGACAATGATGTATAGAACCATGCAGCCTGTGCTATATATTAATGAGGAGCTTGCAAGGCTTTGATAAGACAGTGCAATGATACACAAGGGGGGCTTGTAGAACATCACAAGTAAAAGACCTAGGCCATCTTCTCTGCAGTAATTACCACCAGAGCAGTACAACGTTGACAAAGCATTCAAGAAGTTGTGTAACAAAACACTCGTGATTTTTCTTGCTGTTGTTACAGTACGGATTATTTCATCTAAATAGTTACAAACATTAAGGCAGGAACTACAAAGCATTTTTTTCTCGCTATCACTGTAATTAAAGATTTTAGTGTTATTGCAAAACAATCAAAGAAACTATGGAATAATAATTTTGTTTTATAAGTATTTTTTGTTGTTATGCCAAAGCAGTGCTTTATGAAGGGGCTACCACTAAAGACATTTACAGAATATTTCTCTTTTTTTTAATTTAAGTCCTTAATGCATGCCAATCTACAGATATTATGTCTGGTATATACTGATCAGAAAGGTGAAACAGGAAAATTCTTGTATAGGTCCTTAACTAAACAATTCTGTTTCACATTGTTTAGTACAGGCTTTGCATACACAAATGGGCCCAGTTTGTCCTGTATTTGTCATACAAAGCAGCTTATGTACGGCAGTAAAAATATTTGTGCTAAAATTTTTTTTTAAATCATTCCTTGTTGACTGTAAACCTTTTAAAGCATGTACTCTTTGGAATGTAAATATACTTAGTAGGCACAGCAATTAATATCTCATCTTCTTTGACATTTGAAGGCTGTTTATCTTTTTAACTGGGTCTTATCAAAGACTGTTACCTTTAAAAAGAAAAAAGCAGAAAGAAAGAAAGCTATTGGCATATTTGTATTGCTGCTGATGTACTTTGTAGGGCTTCGCTTCACCATTAGATACAAAGCTTCTGATGGCTACTTGAGTTTGAATGCACTGTTATTATAGGTATTACATGAAATTGCTTGTGTTATGTGAAGGGGATTATAGAGGTTCTGGATCAATAACTCCAGTGGATGTCGGGAGTGATTACAGTGCTCTGTCAATTTTCCCATTTGGCTGTCAGTACTGATTTACAACACGCTGCCTCTTTTATTCACATCAAATCACTCATTTCAATGGCAAATTCTATACATCTCAATTTGGTTCAAAAGCCGATTTGTGTAAAATAAATGTGCGACTAGTAGACTAATCTACATGTACTTAGGAATGAGGAGGAAAAAAATTAAGGAAGAATTCTCCAGTATGTCCATGGAATAATCTCTATCACTGGTGGAGATGTAGGGGAAAAACCAAGGAATCTGACATCAAAACATGATAAATTGGGCAGATTTGAAGTACAATTTCTAATCGTTTTCATGGTCACTTGATTTTCCTCTGTTATTCTACCACATTTGCTTGGGTAGTCTGAGTGAACTGAACTGGAAAGGTACGTCGTGGGTATCTAGTTGTTAAATACAGGTATTATCTGTATTATGTTTTCAGAAATGGCAGGATATTTTTGTATTTTTGAACTTGCAAAAAAAGATTTAGATTTAATAATGTTTTAAACAATGAAATATTATGAAATAATGCTTAAAACAAAGCATTGGGCTTTTTAATACATGTCATTAATCAGAAAAATTTAGTACACATTATACAGTACATTCAAAAATATAGTGAAGGCTCGAGTTAACTTTTAGAGAGTTCAGAAACAAATCTGGCAAATGAATCAGTTGCTGTTTACTTTGAAAAATGTCACATTTAAAATGTTTTTTTTTTTTCCCAAAGAAAAGATTTTTTGAAGCGGTTGGTTTCTATTGTGTTGTATTTTAACTATGTGCAGGAAAGTCTGCACACATTTTTAGCACCATGCTTTAAAAGGCATGTTTTAAACTGGAGCCATGGGTCACTGTTTTTTTTGTTTCTTTTAAGTTCTCGGGAACACCTACTGTAACTGTTTGCACAGGAAGTAGAAGAGATGAACCTCATAGTTCAGACATAAGTAGCTGGAGCTTACACTGTGCCACTGATTCTTCCCCCATCAGCAGTGCACGACTGGTACAGCGTTGTCAGGGACGGAGCGCTAAAAATGACCAAGTTATTCCGACTTTTTGAACAGTCGTGACCCCTGGAGGTTTCCAAATGCCTGCAACCTTGCATTGTTATCTGTAAGAGCTGCGTCACTTCTCCAATTAATGCTAACTGTAGGCACTGTGGGGCCTGCAGTCTGAATGGGACGCAGATGGCCTGTCAGTGTACCTTTCAAAGGAAAGCATGAGCCGTTCTTGTCTCTCCTGGGCTGGTACAAGTGCAGCAGCAGGTAGCAGGGATGAGCTGAGTGAATTTACCTACTGGTGAGTCTGGGTTGTGGGGAATAAATAGCAAAAAAAAAATACATGAATAAAAAAAAACAGAATCTGCTAAAACATTAAAACAGCAAATAGCTGTATTGGGTTTCAAAGAGTTAATTTCATGGACAGCTGCAGACAAAATTGAGATATTACAGTATATGTTTTTAAGGAAAATAATTTAAATAATGGAATTCAATTCTATCCCTATATTATATCAAAATGCATTTGGAATGATTAAAAGGCTTATCCAGAAATACATTTAACTGCTATAAAACCTATAAAGATGAATACATTGTAAACAAATGCTGCAATGTTCCTTTCAGAGCCTTTAAATTTGTATTCTAGTAAAAAGATGGTGTCAAAAGTTAAGTCATCTTCAAACCTTTTGCTTTATTGTTAATGTATTGACACGTTTTCAAAGAAATTCAATCAATAACAGTGAATACAGAACTAAAACAACACTATATACTCTTCCTTTGTTACTTGATTTGTTTAAAAGCAGCTTTTATTGTAATATTGTATTCATAAAGATGACATGGGTGACAGAAAGAATCAAAGAAGATACTAAAAACAATTTCCCTTTGTTAAAAAGTAGTAGCACTCAGAATGATGCAAAAATATTCAACATTTAACTGACTTAGATAATAGTATTAAATAAATGAAAAACTGCCATTTCTGAGTTTGAATCAGGCATACCTACTTTTTACTTCTGAAGTCTTATTTCAAAATGACTGAGTCATGAAGGTGGAGAATGTCGAGGAGCAATGACTCATCAAACCAGTTTCTATTAGAACATAAGAAAGGCTACAAATTATTTGGACAATCTAGCCGATTCGGTCGTTAGTGGTTAATTGATTCAAGGATCCCATCCATTTCTTGGCTTACACAATATGGCTTGGTACCTTGTTCCATACTCCCACATTTCTTTATTAACAGCCCTTCACATTCAGAGGACCGTTCTAACGTTGAGGGTCTCCAGAAAAACAAGCAATACAATAGCAAACAGTCCAAAAGCAGAATCATTGTGTACTGTGAAATACTGAACAGTTATTCTCAGGTGGTGCCCACTGTTTTCTAAATATATCAGGATGACAAATTTGTGAGAGGTCTCAAAAAACAAATTAGGACGCACAATATTTCTTAATATCAAAAGGGCAAGCGGGGAATAATGAAACAAACAGGCTTCTTGTGTTTGACTTATTCTTTCAATTAAATCTTTCTTGGAGGGTTCTAGTGCTCTTTAACTTCCTTCCCCTGTATCGCAGTGTTTTTACCTCACACCTCTTTCTGACACTACAGATCAGGTGGTCTTTGAAAAACACTACTTGCACTGTTACCTTAGGTGAACCCTCCGAGATTTCTAAGGCTCAGAGTGCAAGAAAACGGAAACACTTTCAGGACCGCCCTCTCATATGTACTTGAAAATCTTAAATTTTCTATTTCTCCCTCATGTTGAGCTTATGTTTTTGCAAAACCTTTGCATACTTAAAATATTGCTGAGAGCCATATTCTATACAAGAATGAAAAAACTGTGGAAGAAGGATAGAATGACAGAAACAACTGGCTTTGTCTGTAGATTAAATAATGTATTATCCTAAACAGTTATATCTTAAAATAAATCTAAAATGACTCTGCCTAGCAAAAACTATAGGCTGTATACATTTTATCAATTGTTAGTGTTTATTTATTCTTGTTTTTATATAACATACTATTCTACATTTTTCAATGTCTAGCATTAAAACTGTAAATACTGCATCGATTATCTTAAAAGACAAGTCAAAACCACATTTTTGTACACAGAAGCAGAAAGAGCCCTTATAAAACAGGAAGGTTTATACATTAGTGGAACAGAATCTGAAAAATGTAAGTCATTTTATATTAACAGCATTTCAAAATGTTAATACAGTGTGAATTTGATTTAATATATACTGTATATAAAATAAGCCTTTTCTGCTGTGACAATCAGGTCTTGTCACAGTGAACATCCGCATAGAAAATTAAAAAATCAATTTTCTTCTCGAAGTGACCTGAGTTCTGTACAGGTCACTGCCTTATCTTGAAAGTGTACTAAAAATCACCTGATGCACTACATCTATATTTTGTTGACTTAGATAATCTCTGTCATTGATGAGTCATCAATAGGTTTTTAAAAAGTCCACTCTAGTGCAATTTAAAACCTTCAACATTGAGCAAATGCCCTCTCTTTGATGTTTTAGAATTTTATTTTGGAATTGACTGTGTCCTGTAATGAATCTGATAAAGCACCAACAGGTCAAAAGGACTGACCTCTAATCAAATAAAAAATTAGGGATTGTTAAAATTAAAATTACTGAAAGAAAACAGCTTTCAGTAATGTTTTATAAAAGGGCAATGAAAACATGAATAGTAACAAAACAGACCGCTTTAATACTAATTCTTACATTCTTTGCGTTTTCATGTACTGTACAGTATGTACAGCAGTTGATGAGAACTGCACATTTTCTGTTGTGAATGCTTTAACACAAAACATGTTAAAAGCAATTTCACATTTTCCTTGTGCAATCAAATGCAATAAACTGGTATAAAATTACTTTGGAGTGAGTCCAAAATTTTACAGAACATATTACATTTTGACATTATCAGGAACATTCAAGATTCAATTCATGAATTGCTAACACCTTGTCTCCCAAATAAAGCTTCCAGAATAGCAATACTGTTGTTCTGGTTGGTAATTTTAATTTTCTGAGATACTTACTCTGGTATGTAGCCATCTACAGTGTACTGTCAATGCTGTTTCAAGCACAAAGCTGAAAAATGAAGAAAGACACTTAAGAATTCCTATATTTTGCTTTCACTGACACACTTCAAGACCCAGAACATCTATGAATCATGATTTATTATTATAACGACCCAATGACCAAAATAAATAGATACAGGAACTGAGCAGGTTATATAACAGGATTTTCTGAAAGAGATTATTCTGCAGCTGTAGGAGTTAGGCTGAGACCCCTCCAACTCATTTCATAGAAGACCCTGTCAAGCTGCCTTAATGTAAATTATTTTCCTTCACTTTTGTGTGGGCTACAGTTAAACCTAGGGTATAATGGGATTTTTTAGATAAGAAATTACTAGCGCAGGCCATTCTTTTGTCTCTACCAGGGAGTTTAATAGCTAAAGCAATAGAGAAAGGCTTTGGTTACCAGAGAAACGAAGAAAACAGACCCCAGTCTCCATGGTAAATAGAAAAGCCATTTGTAGCAGCCTTTTCAAACCTTGAACAGGCCTTAACAGTTCAGCTATAATCAGTACAGATTTAAACCATTATGTATTACCAGCTAAACTGCCTAATACACTACTCTGCACAGTTTGCATTGAAGACCAGCTACATAATCTAAAACAAACTTATATGTTAGGTAGTTATATAAACACCATTAGAGAAAATCACATTGAATTTAACTACAGTGTATCTATGTGATTCTTTGTTCTTAGGTGCACGAAAAGACTGTCAAATATATTTTAAAAAAGCAGGACCAGCAAGTAGAACTTGGTTACTGAAGCAGAGCCGTTTGAGAATTAAGACAAAACAATAAGCCTTTTGTAAGAAGCCTTACTAAATTTTAGCTTTCTTAAACAGTTTTGACTAATTCTTAAAATGCAGTTGACAGGTATCATCAGTATCAAGAAAGGTTCTTGAGGATCTCACTAAATTTAAAAGAGATGGGTGCAATGTAACAAAATCTATCATATAACTACTGTACATATTCTATATTTTATTATATGCTCAAACAAAAAGGAAATCTCTGCAACCTTTATTTTTGACTATTTGTTAAATCCAAATGCAGGAAATAAGAATGCACAAACAGTAAAGAACAAGATTCCTTTCAATTTTTTTTTTTCAGAGCAGTAAGTCACACGTTTCAGAAGTTTCTGTAAAGGCTGTTAAAGATCCTTAAAGGTGGATTATTATTCCTTTTAATTGAACACGGGCATATTGAAAAAAAAATATTATGCTGTACTCTCCTAGTACTCCTGGTAGAAAATGCCAAACAGCTGCACTTCATTCCAAGATAAAATGCAGCGGCTGGTATCTCTCTTTCACTTCAATCACTGGTAAGATATGACAAAATTACAGCGCACACAAAGAAAGTGGCTCCATAATTCCAGGATCCACAAACCCCACACTAAAACTACCTAAATTACCAGCATGTGCTGTAAGTGCTTCTCATGGCTAAGCGTTTTTGTCTTAGTTCTCAGTTTTGTCTTAGTCCTTTTTTTTTCTGCTTCAGTAACCATCTCCTACTTGCTGATCCTACCGCTTGTTATTGTGAGAGAGATGTACTGTATTTCTCGGCCCATCTGCAAATTTCATGTTTGTCAGTTTAAGGCATGTGCGATAGATTTTATTGACATCATATTCTGATTTGTAAAGGTCCATTGAAGGATATACTGTACCACAAAAACTACCACAAAAAATAAAATCTATTTCCTTGTAAGTAATAAATAAAAAAGATGAAGATTTTTCTTTTCATTTCAGGTGTTTTCCACAGAAAAGACCATTGTCTATGATTACCATCTTAGTGACTGGAGAATCATGGCAAACCAGGCTAATTACACTGTGGTCTGTTTATATTATAATTAATATAATTAAATTATACAAAAGAGATGACACAGTAATGTACTGAATAGCAGAACAACAGTTTAAATTGAAGATTTAATTCGTTCGTTTTTGAAAGAGAAACGGCAACCATTTTTTTAAAATGAAACAATAAGGTGAAGTGAATAAACACAGTGCTCATATATTTTGTGAATGCTGAACTGGTAATTTAATCAATAAGCAGCAACTCGAACACTAGTAAGTCTCTTTGAGTAATGACGGTTGTTTCTAACACCATAAAAGCAAACAATTAAGAAGGAAAGAGCTTACATGTAAAACTCACATATTGCAATAATTAATGAAGAAATTATTAGGCTTCTTCAACAAATGTGTAGAAGGCTCTGATTGGTTTTTTTTTACTATTTTTTAATTGATCTGCATCAGTATAACAAAGGTTTGCACTTCGGTTTTGACTGATGAACATTCATCTTGTCAACAGATCTAAATCAGATAATGAAATTCTTGACCATCCTCTCTCAATTCTTATGTCTAATATTTTAAAGTAATCAGAGGCATTTTTTCAGGCCGGTTTGGAGAATGTCCCTTTCATATTTTACAGTATTCTAATATAAAGTCTTTCACACCTGGCGTTAGTTGTGGTGATTGTATGTTAATAATAGCCCGCACAGTAGTTTACAGTAAATCAAGCTATTCAGTTTCCTGGTAGGTTTCTATTAGGGTATTCCTCTTTGTTCTCCATCATGATTTTTTCATTGCTGTGGTCTTTCATTTCAACCATGCTCAAATATCTTGTTTATTTTTCAGCACTCATTTATTATTCAATAATCAACATGTGACAATTTCAATCATGAGGTGAATAATTATTATTAAAAACAAACAGGTTTCATAGGAAATATGTACAGTCTTAAAAACTTTTTACAAAAGTGGAGACAAGTTTTTGCTTGTTGTTTCTCTTGTTATATGTATAATGTAATAAGAGTTTATTTTAATATAACCCTGAATCGCTAAGTCAGCTTAGGTCGTTTCAGTGCAACTTTGTAGCACTCAAATCTGGAATATTTGTTTTTAGTTTAACATGGACTTCTTCCAAAAAATATTTTTATTGCCCCTAATTATTAATATATACTTACTGTTTCTCATTTGACCGAGTTCACAAAATACAATATATAACATTATATTTAGATGGACAAGAAACAAAACCAATAAACTCTGGTGTTTAGTGTTTTCCATGGATTTGCTACAGTTCATTCACAAAGCAATAAAAACTGGGCAGAAAACTAATAAATCACTGTGCAAAGTAACATTTCAAAGACTCAGCCAGAAGCATTGACTGACATTAGTGTGGCTACCAAAGCTCTTTGAAGAAATAATGGTTCCCTGATCCCAAATTAAGTCATATACACTTAGCATCAACAGAAAAGATTATCTTTCTTTTATCTGTAAAACAATAAGAAATGAGAACTGGTTGATTGGCAAGTGCTTTAATTACTGTATAGATTTCATAGTTAGCTTCCTAATTACACTTAACATCTGACTGCATTAAATTGGTATTTTATTGAGTTTGTAGAAACTGTAGATAATAGAGATTCAAGCCCAAGTGCATTCATATTGGACTCCTGTCATGCCTGTGAAAGGACATGTATTTTGGCAAAAGGACATAATAAACAAAAAAGAAAATAAAATATGCCAAGATATACTCAAATTAATATCAATATATATCTGTGCAAATTCTATTTCCTTTTCCTTGTTTTACTTGACAGGTTTTACTCTACAGTGGAGAACATTTCTGATCAGTTAAAAATCTTTTTTTCAGCAAGTCATAAAGGAATCTGTAAAATATGTGAAACCAACACTTAAATGAAGGCCCAGAAAAGGATTGACAGAAATAGGTAAAAGTTTCAGAGACATTAACTGAAATATGGAATGTGAGCTTCTCTGATGTATTTAAAAGTGCCATGCAGTTAAATGTAATTTACTCCCGTTTACAATTTTATAGAATAATCCCTGAGGGTTTATGACCAATCAGAAATGTGCTAATGACAAAAAGTGGTTCCAATATTCTGTCCAGCCCGTTTAAGTGATGGAACATGTAATATAAAAGCAATAATAGCGTGAATTTTATACTTTTATCACATATTACAGCAATTTGGGAGTGTATTATTTACATAGAAATGATGCAAATACGTCTGACCAAGTCGGTTTAAGTGAATCATTATGTATACTACTGATACATTTAGGGAAGTACAGAAAGTCAGGTATATTTCAAAATGCATTATACATCTCATGATGGAGCTTTTAAAAGCACCAGCGATCTGTAATGTTATTAAGATTTAAGCTTCAATTACCACCATGAATCTACACCAATTGCAAGTGTGGCATCTATGATTTTTTAAAATGTGTTATTGTTAGAGGCTAATATCTTTTTTTTGAAGCAAAAGCCTAAATGATATGAAAAGGTACTTAAACAGATTTTTCCTGATTTTCTCCTGAATTTAAATGAAATACAAATGATCCATATATCTTTCTGGTTTCTTTTTCCATTGAATATGATCATTAACTGAGAAAGAGTGGCCAGTTAGCTTCTTGTCATGACTTATAAAGAATTGAAAGGTTATGATGCAATGGAAATAAGAATTTCAGGCTGCGTGTTTAATCATCCAAAAAGATCAATAGATTATTCCGTACAGTAATACGTTATAAATACATGTGGAAAAAAGGAACTTTTATTTTAAAACTGGTCAGACATTACCCTTTATCCTAGCTAGAAAACAGGACAGAATTATATGTACTAAGAGAAACCTGCTTTTTCTGTATTGCTTCCACCAAGATAATACAAAATAACACGGAATTCCTTTGCTGTTCATATTTCATTAAGTAGATCTGTCAAGGTATAAAAAGTACTACTATTTATTTCACATCGCCTCCCACACAATTTGCATTTATTAGGTAAATTCATTATTATTAACTTACATGTCATACAGTATATGTCTTTTTCATTTTCTAACTTTTTTATCCAATACAGGGTCTTGGGGAAGCCAGAGGGTATCCCAGCAAGCATTGGGCACCAGGCAGGATACACCCTGATTGGGACAGTCCATCACAGATGTCTTATACAGTATTCATTATATAGATACAAAACATTGAGTCACTGCCGAACTCAAACAAACCAAACACCTAAAACACATTTTTCTT